ACAGGAGTGGGTTGCCATGGAGAGGACAGGAGTGGGTTGCCATGGAGAGGACAGGAGTGGGTTGCCATGGAGAGGACAGGAGTGGGTTGTCATGGAGAGGACAGGAGTGGGTTGCCATGGAGAGGACAGGAGTGGGTTGCCATGGAGAGGACAGGAGTGGGTTGCCATGGAGAGGACAGGAGTGGGTTGCCATGGAGAGGACAGGAGTGGGTTGCCATGGAGAGGACAGGAGTGGGTTGCCATGGAGAGGACAGGAGTGGGTTGCCATGGAGAGGACAGGAGTGGGTTGCCATGGAGAGGTAAGGAACAGGTTACCCAGAGATGACATAGGCAATCTCAGGCAAGGGGAGAGAATTATCAGGGTGAAAGCGCCAAGCCATTACGACTATACAGCACTTGGATGGGATCTATCTTGAGGTTATCTTGAGATGATTTCGGGGCTTTTTAGTGTCCCCGCGGCCCGGTCCTCGACCAGGCTTCCACCCCCAGGAAGCAGCCCGTGACAGCTGACTAACACCCAGGTACCTATTTTACTGCTAGGTAACAGGGGCATAGGGTGAAAGAAACTCTGCCCATTGTTTCTTGCCGGCGCCCGGGATCGAACCCGGGACCACAGGATCACAAGTCCAGTGTGCTGTCCGCTCGGGAGGAGTTGTGTAAAATCCTGGTTTGTGTCTCGGAGAGGCTGCAGGATCCAGTAAGTTCAGTAGAACTTCGGTTTCAATTCTTTTTACCCTGTCGTAGCTCAGTCGATTAAGGCAGTGTCTGGGATGCTCCCGGACGCAGGTTCGAATCCTCGTCACGGCCCTTGTGGATTTGTCCAAGCGATAACTCATCTTAAGAACAAGTATCAAATATGCTGAAGAAACGATAGTTAGACGATACCTAATTAAGTAACAAATACAATACAAAATATAGAAAATACAGCAAAATTTAATAAATTCAGAAATTAAGGCTTTAATTGGTCTAAATGCTAATTACTGTACCAGTGTCACGGGTCGTAATGAGCACAATTAGTCACGCTATTGCGAAAAACTCTAGATTTTTGGAGAGTGAAAAGCAGATGGTAATTTAGTTAGGTGAGGAACTGATGGTGTTTGGGCCCACTGGTGAGTCCTGTCTAACTCCACTGGATGAGTTTGGGAATTTATCAATACTGATTATGTTTGTAGCTGTCTATGTTTGTTTGTGTTGTTTTATCTAAGTTTGTTAGATTGTTAATTTGTTTGCTTCTGTCTCTGTGTGTGTCTGTGTCTGTGTCTGTGTCTCTGTGTCTCTGTCTGTGTCTGTGTCTGTGTCTCTGTCTCTGTCTCTGTCTGTGTCTCTGTCTCTGTCTGTGTCTCTGTCTTTCTCTCTGTCTGTCTCCGTCTCTCTCTCTGTCTGTCTCCGTCTCTCTCTCTCATCAATTATTCTATTTTCCGTCTAGTTCGTCAACTGCGGTACAGGCAATTGGTCCCATCCCTCATGGCGAACCAACAGGAAATTTCTCTCAAACAAGGTTGCCGCTTGGCACTATTTTTCATCCTCGGACTTTATGCTGCATCTTTCCGACCTTAATTCTCGACTCGGCAACGAAATTAGGCCGCGTTAGCAGACAAAATTGGCTAACGAAGTGCTTATGAAGGAACGATCTTGCGGCTCCTGTGTTCCTGGTGGTCGGAATGTGGTTAGCAGACGGTCTTCGTGTGATGGAGATTCGATTCGTTTGTGATGAAGAAAGAATATTTGTAGTTTATTGGTGATTTGCCAGAAATGTCTGCAAAATGATTTTTGCAGACTTTTCTGCAAATGAAAATGATTTGCAAAAAAATTATTTATATATAAAAGCTAATTTCCAAGGCACTCAAAATTATTTTTTGCAGACTTTTCTGCAAATAAAAATGATTTGCAAAAAATGTATTTATATATGAAAGCGAATTTCCAAGGCACTCTTTGAACGATATCTTAATTTATCAACCGACTGAAGAATATTCGAATATGTCCATCAGTTGACGTATATCAGCAGTAGAGTTTATAAGCATATGGACTCTGGCACAATGTCTGTGTAGGCTCTGGACGCGACCTCATTGGGTATGGAACCTACTTACAGCTTGGGGAGTAGAACAACTCCCAGAACCCCATCAAGCAGGCTCTCACGAGAACTGGCTCACTCATCTTTACCATTGATGGATATCTTGAGGTTATCTTGAGGTTATCTTGAGATGATCTTTACCATTGATGGTAGCATCAGGGCGAACACTGAACTGCTCAGTAACTTCGTATCTGTTCAGATGACGCAAAATTGATTCGCCTTACCAGCACCAGAACAATGACTGGAAACAGACTATTGGAGCAATCAAGACATGTTCAGGTCCGAACAATGAAATGTTCTTCTATAACATAGTCAATGTCCAGACTTTAACACTTGTGTTCTAATATTGTAGGATAGAAAGAATTGAACTATCAGGGGGAAAGCGCCAAGCCATTACGACTATATAGCCCTTGGAAGGGGTCAGGATAAGGATTTGGGATGGGACAGGGGAAAGGAATGGAAGAAAGAATGGGTTATTGAGAGAAGGGATAATATGAGTGGATTGGGATGAAATCCAAGCGAGAATTCGATCCAATAGTGTTGCTAGGGGGGTTTGCCCCCCCCCCTAGCAATCTATCGTCAATTCTACGTCAACTCTGTGATTCATAACCTGTTACTATGTACATATTCTCTATCATACTGTTATTTTTTTCACTGTATTATATGTTCATTGACGTGTAACTTTCCTTCTCCGCCTTGGCTTAACCTTGTAACTACCGAGACAGGTGATTGGAGTAAGGCGGCCATCTTTAGTGACGTCAGATACCCACCAAACTCCCCTGAATCATTTAGTCGACTTCAGGCGCTCGTCTGGGGAGGATGTCCGCGTCTCCTCTCGGTAAACTGCTCCGTCAGTTTGGGGAAATTTGTGGGTTTGTGTATTATAGTTTTTTATCGTTCTCTGCTTTATTTTGGTGTCCGAGTTATTGACTTTGTTTAAGCGTTTTGTTGATTTTATTATTATTATTATTATTTACGTGTTCAAAATAGACGTTTTGGAGGTGTTAAAGATTTTGTTTAATTAAATTAATTTTTTTTTTTTTTTTTTTGCTGGTGGAGGGGGATTTTTTTTTTACTTTGATCTTGTTTGCTTGTAATTACATCAACTTAATTTTTTTTTTTTTTTTTTTTTTTTTTTTTTTTTTTTTTTTTTTTTTTTTTTTTTTTTTTTTTTTTTTTTTTTTTTTTTTACCTGTCCAACAGTCAGGGATAATTGAAATACCTTAATTAAGGTGACGGTATATTTACACACACACACATATATATATATATATATATATATATATATATATGTCGTACCTAGTAGCCAGAACTCACTTCTCAGCCTACTATTCAAGGCCCGATTTGCCTAATAAGCCAAGTTTTCCTGAATTAATATATTTACTATAATTTTTTTCTTTTGAAATGATAAAGCTACCCTTTTCTCTATGTATGAGGTCAATTTTTTTTTATTGGAGTTAAAATTAACGTAGATATATGACCGAACCTAACCAACCCTACCTAACCTAACCAATATTTATAGGTAAGGTTAGGTTAGGTAGCCAAAAAAAGCTAGGTTAGGTTAGGTTAGGTAGGTTAGGTAGACGAAAAAAACATTAATTCATGAAAACTTGGCTTATTAGGCAAATCGGGCCTTGAATAGTAGGCTGAGAAGTGCATTCTGGCTATTAGGTACGACATATATATATATATATATATATATATATATATATATATATATATATATATATATATATATATATATATATATATATATATATATATATATATAAGCAATACATTTACTAACTGTAAACAGTTAGTTTGTTTTAAATGAGTTCGTGTTATATTTTGTTTGTGAATCATCTGTGGTGAGTGATAGGGGTAGTGAGCTAAGGGTCAGATTCACGAAGCAGTTACGCAAGTACTTACGAACGTGTACATCTTTCCTCAATCTTTGACGGCTTTGTTTACATTTATTAAACAGTTTACAAGCATGAAAACTTGCCAATCAACTGGTGATGTTGTTATAAACAGCCTCCTGGTGCTTCGGAGCTCATTAACTGTTTAATAATTGTAAACAAAGCCGCCAAAGATTGAGAAAAGATGTACAGGTTCGTAAGCACTTGCGTAACTGCTTCGTGAATCTGGTCCCAGGATCCTAGCACTATGCATGCCTTGCCTCCAGTTATCCGGCTCGGAATATCCTGGTGTATCCGCACACGGAGTTTCTCGCTGAAATCGCCCGGATTTTCTCGAATGAAATCCAATTGAGAATCCAAGAAGTGGATTTTTAGACATTTTGCATCTCAAATTTTTATGAACTCAATTATTCACAAACCTTTACTTTTAAATTAAGAAACCAATAAACTTGTATTATTAACACACACAGATCACACTAACGTGATGCATCAAATGAACAAATCCACAAGGGCCGTTATCTTGAGATGATTTCGGGGCTTTAGTGTCCCCGCGGCCCGGTCCTCGACCAGGCCTCCACCCCCAGGAAGCAGCCCGTGACAGCTGACTAACACCCAGATACCTATTTTACTGCTAGGTAACAGCATAGGGTGAAAGAAACTCTGCCCATTGTTTCTCGCCGGCGCCTGGGATCGAACCCAGGATCACAAGTCCCGTGTGCTGTCCGCTCGGCCGACCGGCTCCCATACGAGGATTCGAACCTCAGTCGTAGTTCGTAGTTGTAGCTCAGTCGATTAAGGCAGTGTCTGGGATGCTCCCGGACGCAGGTTCGAATCCTCGTCACGGCCCTTGTGGATTTGTTCATTGTATTAACATTGTTAATATTTTGTTCAAAGTCTTGAAGTGATGGAATTTATTCAATGCTAACAATGTTTTTGCATTTTTCCGTAAGTGAAGGAGTCTTAAAGTGATGAAGTCTGAGAATGTTTAACTTTGAAGTCAAGAACGAAGTCAAATATCTTGGTACAGTTGTTTAATACTGAGTTAACATTGTACTTATGCCTATTGTAAGTCAATATTTTATCCCAGTTATAAAATATTTCATACTTTTCTTTTGCGAAACAGCATTATGCAATCTGAAAAAATGGTGTGAAAGTAACGTTGAAAAGACTTGGAAGGACAAATAAAGGAGTTAACTGAGGCTTAACGAGGTGTGAACCAGTCTGAGTGAACCAGGACATAACGAGGGGGCGCCAGCGAAGTCAGTGAACTGTGAGCCAGTCTGAGTGAACCAGGACATAACGAGGGGGCGCCAGCGAAGTCAGTGAACTGTGAGCCAGTCTGAGTGAACCAGGACATAACGAGGGGGCGCCAGCGAAGTCAGTGAACTGTGAGCCAGTCTGAGTGAACCAGGACATAACGAGGGGGCGCCAGCGAAGTCAGTGAACTGTAAAACAGATTTAAATGTGTAAATCAGATGACCAAGTTCTTTGAAATAAATGAAAATAATCTGTGAGAATGAGAAGACATAAACAAAGCCATTACAGTACAATATCACAGCTGAAACAGTGACAAACATCGAGGACAAACCTCTGTGCTTCTGCCCAAACCCAAATCAGTGAAATATAGGAAGATACATTAAACTTAGCGAAGTAACCCCATTTAAAATCGGCAGTAGGCTGAAACCAGTTTGCGTCCTAACTATAGTAAGAATCAAGAGGTCACAGATCGCTGGTGTGGCCCCAGGGAGTGTGGCCCCAGGGAGTGTGGCCCTAGGGAGTGTGGCCCCAGGGAGTGTGGCCCCAGGGAGTGTGGCCCCAGGGAGTGTGGCCCCAGGGAGTGTGGCCCCAGGGAGTGTGGTAGTGGAGCGGCCACATCTCACCATGGATCCCGCCAGGATTCTGCAGATTATCACTAACAGCACCTGGATGGGTGAGTTGACTATCTTGACACATTTGTTTCTTATCGTCTGTCTGGCCATCAGCCAGGCTCGCTCTCAGGCTCTCATTCTTCCTCTCCATATATAACATAAGCCTACAGGAAACTGCAGAAGGCCTACTGACCCATGCGGGATAATTTGCATGTATACCCAACTACACCCGTGCATGTATTTGTCTAACATGAGCAACTAACTCTGCAACAGTTTCATTGATCAACAGCGGCGTTACCAAAAAAAGTATTTACAAAACATTTGCTCAATATCAGATTTGAATCAATTTTTAATTTTCTCTCCTTTTATATTTGATCATTATATCAATACTTTCATATATTGGAGGGGTACCACCTCTGGTGCAAGTGTAGGGACCCATAGCCTCGGAGAAGAAAATAGAGAGTACTCAGAAGACCTTGTGGATCCTCACTGAACACTTTTATATTTTCTTCTCCTACCACCCCTATTCTTTTAGTATGTGTGTATATTTATCTAACTTTATTTGAAAATATCATTACACAAAAAATTCATATATTTGTTTTTCTATTTGTATACTTTAGTCATGTCCTCCCTTACATTTAGTTTGTCTAGAAAATGTAAATTAAGTAATATAAATATATTATTGTTTGAGGCAAATTCCTAATGCACAGAATTAGCTGTTTATCAAAACTCTTGATGCTCTTTAACTCATTTTTAACAAATTCAGAGTCTGTATAATTTTATTATTATTCTTACTGGAAAATTTTGCTGAGGTTAAAGTTCTTTCTTGTGATAAAGACGTTTATATGTTTGGTAAAGACAGTACGGCCCTGAATAGTGTCTTAAACACCCCGCTTGTCTGTCTGTCTTATCAGTTATCATGACCTCGAGATTTCAAGGAATTACGAAAAGCTACAATGAAATTGAAGCATTGCCATTATATCCAAAATAGAAACGGCCATAGTGATATAATGTAAAGTGCGTTTATGGGGATACTTGTCTATTTTTAATATTCTAACTAGTGTATTGCACTATTTTAGACTATTTTCTTCGTTCTAGTGGAATAGTTTGTCGTATATTTATATCGGGAATGTTTATATTGAACTTTTTGTCGTATTTAACATTTTACTGATAAAATTCAGTTCACGTAGACAAGTTGTCTGATTAAATTTAAGGTTTTAAAATGATCTTTTTACACAACGCTGACTGAACTCCTTCAGGTTGTCTAATGTGAGGACAAGAACGGCATGTCGTATTCCAGTGTCTGGAGTTGTGGTAAATTCGATCCATCCTTCTGAAATAATATTTATAGTAACTGAACAAATCCACAAGGGCCGTGACGAGGATTCGAACCTGCGTCCGGGAGCATCCCAGACACTATTACTGTTTATAGTATTTGGTGGAAAGTACCAGTATGTAGTGATGGACCACCAATCAAATGATTTTTATACTTTTATAGACTCTGGAAAAAAGTTAACACTTAAATATGCCTAGGCCTAGAAAAGCACGTATATGTGTTTATTCTGGGGAGTGAGTTTTCAGTTGTATATAGTCCTGGGGACCATTCAGGCTTGTTTGCACATGTATTTATTTATACAGGATGAGTTACATTCTTTGGCCAACGATACCGGGTATTAGGTCTTGGGAGTGTCAGGTTAGGTTAGGGAAAGTCTGGTCTCATATTTGTTGTATGTAAAAAAAAATTTAGAGTTTGCAGGCGATGAATCACAATAACATGGCTGATGATATGATGATATTCTTATATAAGTATGGTTATAATCTTTAATTTTTTTTTCATCATTTTCTACCACAGACGTGGCCAGACATTTACAATGCTAACCAGCATATATACATTTTTTTCTGTCCTCTATGGACAGGGTTAGGGATGTGTTAAACATATAGTTCAAGAGTTTATTGTACAATCAATCTTTAATTAAAAGGTGGTTTTAATAATACATTAAATGGCCTCGAATAATTGCGTTCATGACTTAGCCATTCTATAAAGGTTACTCTCAACTGGTCGATAGTTAGAGAAAAGTCCGATCATTGGTTTGATGGCAAGGGGAAAAGCCACATTTTTCAACATATATTATCTTGATTCTTGAGGTTATCTTGAGATGATTTCGGGGCTTTAGTGTCCCCGCGGCCCGGTCCTCGACCAGGCCTCCACCCCCAGGAAGCAGCCCGTGACAGCTGACTAACACCCAGGTACCTATTTTACTGCTAGGTAACAGGGGCATAGAGTGAAAGAAACTCTGCCCATTGTTTCTCGCTGGCGCCTGGGATCGAACCCAGGACCACAGGATCACAAGTCCAGCGTGCTGTCCGCTCGGGCTCCCTGAAAATATTTGATATTTTCAACTATAATCCAATTATACGAATCATTTCCTCTTTGAGTGATTTTTTAAGGAGTTGGGTGAAGGGATCACAAAATAGTTTTTACCTTGTTTTAATTATTTAATAGAATTAGTCGGTCATGTTCGTCCTGAGGTGAGCTAGGCTCTTAAATATTATTAGAAGAATTTCTTACTCGCGGACTTGCGAAAGGAAATTAATATTTCCCAAGGTAAACTAGTTGACAAAAATTAGATTTAAAATCCTTATTACTTCATAATAAATAAAAATCAGGATTTTTTCTCCTATGAAAGAACTAGTAGACAGTGAAATTTCCTTCTTTCGATATATTGGGGAGCCGGTCGGCCGAGCGGACAGCACGCTGGGCTTATGATCCTGTGGTCCCGGGTTCGATCCCAGGCGCCGGCGAGAAACAATGGGCAAAGTTTCACCCCGATGCCCCTGTTACCTAGCAGTAAAATAGGTACCTGGGAGTTAGCCAGCCAGCTGTCACGGGCATCTTCCTGGGGGTGGAGGCCTGGTCGAGGACCGGGCCGCGGGGACACTAAAGCCCCGAAATCATCTCAAGATAACCTGTAACGCTCTAATATGCTCGCAACACCTTATGTACACCGTCTTGTGACACTTCCAGATCCAACAAGTCCTGTGTCACTCTTCTGAATCTCTTCCTTTTTACAGAGGTCATGTACGCAGCTGTATTCATTCCCAGCCATATAGTCTCTTCAGTTACCTTATAATTCCTATCTATCTCCCCTTCTGTCTCTCTCCTTTGTCTCCTTTGTCTGCTCAGTTTCTCCTTAATCCTTTGTTCGTGCTTTGCATCCTGTTTCGTATAACCCATATTTTATACGTTTGTTTCTGTGAAAGACAATAAAGCAATGATCAGGGGAGAGAGAGAGAGAGAATAAGAGTGTGTGAGAGAGAACTCCATAAAAAAAAAATTGTCTGCAAAACATCTCTTGGTTATCTTGAGATTTCGGGGCTTTAGTGTCCCCGCGGCCCGGTCCTCGACCAGGCCTCCACCCCCAGGAAGCAGCCCGTGACAGCTGACTAACACCAAGGTACCTATTTTACTGCTAGGTAACAGGGGCATAGGATGAAAGAAACTCTGCCCATTGTTTCTCGCCGGCGCCCGGGATCGAACCCAGGACCACAGGATCACAAGTCCAGCGTGTTGTCCGCTCGGCCGACCGGCTCCCAGTGTGAGAACGCCATAAAAAAAATTGTCTGCCAAGCATTAACAAAATTCACATATAACAGCACATGGAAAGTTGTTGACCAGACCACACACTAGAAGGTGAAGGGACGACGACGTTTCGGTCCGTCCTGGACCATTCTCAAGTTGACTGAGAATGGTCCAGGACGGACCGAAACGTCGTCGTCCCTTCACCTTCTAGTGTGTGGTCTGGTCAACATATTTCAGCCCCGTTATTGTGACTTCTCGTCTGCACAGCATATGGGAAGCCTTAAAAGAAATAAAATTTAACATATTTAGCTACTCATAAATTCGCTTATATTAATCTCGGGTTAAATTTCTTCCTTCTGAAGTTATTCCAAAAAGTTTAAATAGAACTTCGATTATGCAAATGTGGTTTAATTAAAATGTATATTCCAGCACTTTTTCTTCGGTCTTTAATTTAATGGTGGTGACGTCAGAGACGGGGGGGGGGGGTGACGCTGCCATCAGAGATGCTCATAAGCTGAAGTCATACAAGCATGTAATGCCATCAGAGATTACCATGATCTTGACGTCAGAGATACTGGTTGATCCTGTTATTTTATAGCTTAACTATTCTAACCAACATTTTGTTGAACCTCTTACACACAGAAATCACAATTGCGTGATGGATCAAATGAACAAATCCACAAGGGCCGTGACGAGGATTCGAACCTGCGTCCGAGATTTTACCCTGTCGTAGCTCAGGCGATTAAGGCAGCGTCTGGGATGCTCTCGGACGCAGGTTCGAATCCTCGTCACGGCCCTTGTGGATTTGTTGAACCTGTCCTTAGTTGTGGATGGAGGTGGCTCCCACAATTTCTTCTCTCGGTTCATTGCACTTACTGACCATTCATACAAGCTATAAGTATTTAATTTATTTTATTTAACTTCTTCCAGTTTTAACTTGTGTTCGCTTGTCCTGTTTTCTCTCAACTTAAAGGCTGTTCATGTTCACCCTGTCTATTTCTGTATCTTGTACGTTGTGATCATATCTCCACTATTTCTTCTATCCTCCAAGGTTGTGAGGTCCAGTTCATTCAGCCTATCCTTATTGCTTAACTTTTTAGCAATAATCTAGTTATAAAAATCTGCAATTTTTACATTTCAGTTTTATGCATCACAAGGTATGGGGTCCAGACCGGTGCTGCATATTCCAGCTTTGGTCAAATAATATATGCACAGATTGTCTTAAAAACGTCCTGGTTTAGGTGTCAAAACGTTGTTCTAATCATCCCATTGATTGGTCTTCCTCCAAAATAATCTTTCCTGCCTCTACTCTACACAGACGCCGTCTTGTAGAATCGGCTCTTATTAACAATGTACCCAACATGAACTTGAGTCCTGGCTTTGTTGCTGTGGACTCTTCCCTTTCACAGTATATACTCAAATGCTCTAATCTTTCTAACAAACGTGACTTAACATAAGCTTTCCCCCTTCCATTTCTTTCTT